AAACAAACCATTTAAAACTGACCATGCAAACGTAGGAAAAACAAAATTATTGAAACAAAATCAAACCAATGAAAACAATATCAGGTGAATAAATAGGGAAGACATCAAATAAAAGAAGAGGGCAGTTGGCTGGCTGGGGAAAACTGAAATTTCAAACTTAATTAAGGTCAAAGCAATTTGTGAGGCACAGTGTTCGAATCAGGCTCTCGTCAAAATAATCAAAGTGAAGAAACTTGCATTTTTCTGTTGGTTGGTGAATTTTTATCCGGTTTTTTGTTTTTTGGCTCAACACCTTTCATGCCCATTAAAGAACTCATTTCTGTGTGGATTTGTTAGAAAAAGTTGATTAAAGGCACAAAAAATGTAAATTTTCAGTTACCACGGACTCTTAAGCTAAGGAAACAACAAATCTTTGGCGGCGGCCATTTTCTCACTAATTTTACCTCTGAAAACAGGTGACCCCCACCTCCTTCATTCGCAAATATCTTGACTTGTATTCAAGATAAATGGATATTTTTTCATCCAAATATTCACAAGTGAACAAACTTTAAGATGATACCAATAACTCTACATGCCCAAAATTGACGAGAGCCTGATTCCACCACGCTGCCTCACATTTGGAGAAAAGTTTTTATGCTTTTCTTTTAAACAGGAAAAGTCAGGGGAGAAATTTTCTTTAAAAGCAAATTCCGTAGGACCTATTTCCTATTTGTCTAGAAAATCTACTTACTAGATATCTAAGTTCAAGAATGTTCTACCAAACGACAACAAATTTTAAAGGGGTACTAAACTGGGATGCCATAGGTGGAGTGTTTAGGTATGGAATGGTACATTTTACTTCCAGTTCTATCCGTAGAACTAAGCCTAACGGGTAGAGGGAATAAAAACACATCATACAAACAAAAACCCGCAAATGACAAGAGAATTTTTTTGTGACAAATATCTCTTATATATGAGTGGCAAGAATTGTCACAACAATTACTCGTAATATGAAACTTGAATTTCACAGACTTCAAAGAACTCATTTTTGGGGTGGTTAGGGATGATAAAAAAGTAGTCTTATGCTTGCCTTTGTCAATAAGACAAGTGAAACAGAGGCAGTCATTGAGGGAAGTAAAAAATAGCTCATGTAAGCTGACCTCTTTCTATATATATATCTCAATTTGGAAAAGCACACATTGCCGACACTGCAAGCAACCCAACTTACTTCTCTCTCTCTGGTGTCACTTTCAGAGAAGAAAACAGGAGGAAATGAAAAAAATAGCAGTAAAATGTACTTTGGAGAGTAGAAAGTCTAGACCAAGGTGAAAAGCTTTTATACAGTGCACAGAAACTCCTACTCAAAGTTAATCTTTATATAATGATAGATGAGTAGCTTGAAATGTCACCAATATGCAGCAATATGATATCAAACCAAACTGAATGGAACCACACTATTGAAAACAGCTTTTTAAAAAAGGTACCAGAGTACAAAAAGGTCTAGGCTTTTAGTAAGTCAATACAAAAGAGGAAGCTGATGGGGGGGGGGGGGAATTACAAACCATTATGCCTAATTGATCCTGCCTCTTTCATGACACCACAAAGCGAAATACAGGCAGTAAACCATGAGACTTTAAAAAAACAAAAAAACATCAAATCCAGATGTACCAGACAAATACACAATTCATACACAAAAAAGGCAAACATGAGATTGAGACTCAGAACACTGCCATCTGGGAACTCTACAGACATACATAACTCTCTCAGTACTATAACAAGGAGTTATAGGTCAGTAGTATTTCTGAGCAAATATACATTCTGTACAATGCCTTTGGATCGCATAAATCATATATATATTTAAAAATGGAAAATAAATCTCTAATGCACAATGAAACTCAAATAGTTTAGTATACATATACATGAAGCACGCACAGAAGCACAACCTGATATGTGTTGCCAGCATTCCCTGGAATGACCATCTGATCAACAAGTGGCCAGCTTTCTCACCACAATTGAGACCTTTGGGACAACAGTACAAATTCATCACCGATTTTCCTGTCCCTTGATCCTAAACCAATGTCTGATTACCAAATCTCTGCAACTCTAACAAAGATTCTCCCTTTTCCCGTACCTCTATATCTGATGATGTCAAACAAAAAATCCAGTATCAATTTTAAGTGAATTTAAGACAAAGTGAAAAAGATGAAGCAAAAGTTGTTGCCTTTTCGAGAATCAATAAAAACAATAAATAGATGGTCGATGCTGCCTAAAATTGTAACAATTTAGAGCTCTATCTTCCCCATAACAATATTCAGACAAAAGTTGGCAGAAAAGTCGGTGATGTACTTGAAACTGCGTTATCAGACGAGGTATTAAAACTTTTCCACAAGTTTCTTTTATAACCAAAAACGAAATGTTAAAGAGACACCCTATGAAGTAGAAAAAAAAGCATAAGATATTGTCACAAATTATCAACATCATCCAACACCTACATAGATTTAATGCAATACTTCGAAACCGATATTGATGTGCTGACCGACCTACAAAGCATCTCATGCTGCCCTGTTGCATTACTTTAAAATCTTGAATAGGATTCGAGATTTTTGCAATTGAGAGGAGGTATGGATCACCTGGTAGCACAGGTATAACTGCGAGAAAATGGCCATCAAAGCTTGCTGATTTCCAAAGCTTGAGAGTCCTTGGAAACTGCAAATTTACATAATTTGTTGTGCCCCTAATCAAAATTTGTCAGTAAAATAACAGAAATGTGCTTTTACAAGAACCTGATTTCACCATGATGCCTCACATAGGCCCTATATGACACACTATATTACCTATTAGATTTGACAAAGCTGTGTTATATTTTTTGGGACTCTGTTCAATCACTGAAGCACTTCGAAAAAAAAAATGGCTTCAATCTTAAACTTAAACTAAAAAAAAAAAAATCTCATACCAGTCTCAAGACCTCTTTTAGACTTGTCGCCGAGCATATATCTATCACTCAAAGATTAGAAACAAGACTAACGGGGGGTGGGGGGGGGGGGGGGAGTCAGAAAGACCTGCAAAACATAAATCAACTCAACTGACACATGATGAATGAAAACTGTTGACTCAGAGTTCACAGCAGCGAGGATCTGACAAGTGGAGGAAAATGAGAAACTCAAAGAGGCAAATTTATAACAAAAATGCCACTTGTCGGGGTCTCTTCATAAGAAGAGATAGAGTTTACAGAATAAAATAATCTCTACACCAACTATCCACTCATGGATGTAAACCTATGAAACCATGAACGATACAAAAAAAAAACTTACAAAAAAGTTTTGAGTGTCACTTGTAAGAACCATTTTCTCCAAAATAAACAGCTCCCTACTAACAATAAATTGAAAAATTGATGATTATTTTGATGACGAAGCATTTCGATTTTAGTCACACATTTATAAAAGTTCCTACGAAAAAGTAACACGATGTAAAAAGAGATTGTCATTTATTGTCCAATATGTGAGAAGGGCAACACTGTAATATTAATAACTTCAAAGTCTGCACTGCAGTGACAAAGTGAAAGCCTCATCACTAATTAGTGCACATTTCATATATGGCATTGGGAAATTATGTCATAACAAATGCTTATGAAAACGCACCAATACTGACTCTTGTACAAAATATTTTGAGACTTTTGACAACATCTAATGTGTACAAAAGACATTGCTGTAAACATGCAGTCAACAAAGGTCTTCAATTTACAGACTATCATTAGTAGTATCAAAATGTACACAACACTCATTTTAAAGGGAGGAGGAAAAAAAAAAAGGAAGGGGACCAACATAAGCTTGGATTGTTTGATTAACAAAAAAAAAAAAGGCCATAAAAATCATGGCTATCACAACAGTGCTCAGTGAGAGGTGGACGGCTTCTGGGAAATGATCCAATGTGCTGACACAAGTGGTGTCAGTTTGTCTTGGCTACTCCATAGAATTCTCAGGCCATTCAAACATCAAAATGTACGCAAGTTTTTTTATATGTTACAGAGGTACCGCATCATTTTTCATTTCAATATTTATATTATATCATGACAGAATCCAATTACAAAAAGAGTTATTTCTCTCTCCAACAATACAATTCCCTGTTTGAATACCATAGAAGGAGGATTCATTAACTTTACACGCAAAAGACACAAAAAGTGTCAATCAGATGATGATAAGAATTTCATAAGATGTCATTATGAATATACAATGAATAAATTACAATGCCATTCATTTCATAATTTAATGATCTGGAATTACCACATGGACAAATAATCTAATCCTATTCCTTCACAGGTGGGAAAAACTGGTTCTTAAGAAAATTATCAACAGGTACTTTGCTCTGGAATGCCCTTTGTTTAACAGCTTACAGTAATTCTGTGGACGCTACCTCAACAGTATCTAAAATACCTCAAGTTTGTTGTTTTTCTTTGCAATTACATAGATAACAATTGAATGTGAGATTAAATCAACCGTGACACAGTCGACCGAGTCATGTGTGTACAAACTGCATCAAAAGAAACATAGCTCACCATTTACACACTCTATTATCCAGACAAACCCAGACGATTTAACAGGTAAAAACAAGTCCAACCTGACCACCAACAACTTGATAATTTCTGTCTTCAGCTTTGCTCAACCTCAACCCACATAAGATCATAAAAATATTACCGCAGTATAACAAGACTTTATGACTATATACTGAAAAACTTTTTTTAAAGTGGGTGATGATACTGGTCAACGTGATATAATTTGCCAAATTGCTTGGCGAGTCTAAATATAGCTACCGACACTGGATTAACTTCAACACACAAAATTTTGGTGCAAATTATTTTTTTAACCTAATGCTCCATAATTAAATCAAAGGCATTTTCGTTCAATTCACATTCATAAAATATAAAATTCAGTAACTCTTTTGTCACCTTTCAAAGAAAATCATCCAACCACTTGGAAAATGAATGAATGTTTCGTTTCTACTTTTTGGTTGCCTCTTTTTTTTCACCATGAAAAACCTCATCCCGTAACTTTTGAGGACTCTCTTTCCTCTTGAACAAGCTAGCTTTACTTTTACAGTTTCCAGCACTAATTGTTGTCCCTAATGTTACCAATAGATGAATAGATTAATTAGCTAATTTCACTGCAAACCACCTGGTCAAAGGTCACACTAAAATTCAATTATTAAGAGCACCCACGTAAACTTGTTCCTAACAGCTCAAACAATAATAAAGAATTTGAAGGCTAGCAAACCAGATTCATCCCACACTGTCTGGTCATCGGTGAAGCATGGCATCAGAGAAGTGGAAGTGAACAAAACGTTGCCGCTCATTTGACCAGAAAGTTAAAATTAAACACCATGTCAGCTGACAAACAACCCTTTTATATAAGTAAAAGATCACACATTGTGTGATTTAGCTCACAGACTAACACATTCCACCAAAGCAAAAGACGACAAGGAAAGCCTCAGCACACCATAGAAAAACTCTTACTCCCAACATTCCTTTCAACTGAAAACCTCCGGACGCCAATGCGTTTAAAGACAAAAGCTCAAAAACCTCTAAAAGAGCTTCGACAAAACTGGAACACTACAATTTAAAAACAGTTGCAGGCACATCATGACCAAGGGAAGAGCAAAGGGGATAGAGACTGCAGCCATTTCTGAACACTAGCACTAGCAGTCTATGTTGTTAAAGAGAGCAAGTTCAACATCTGATCTCTGGAACGGGGAGGGAGAGGAGACAGGCAGCTGGCAGCTGTAGAGTATCATATTTCTACCTGTACCATTTGCCAAACAAAACTATAGAGTGTGGAGAATGGAAAGTTACTAGTTCGTTTTGTGGGGGGGGGGGGTTTCACCACAACATTTGGCACTTGTATCACACTTTAGTTCATTTGACTAGCATCCATATTAAAGAAGTATACTATAAATACCATCCAGTAACCAATTTATTTTTTAAAAAGCAACAAAAAACCTACTGACTGTCAATTGCTGCACAGCTGGACATTGCAAGATCCTCGGTTTGGCCCCTGAATAAAAAATTTATGACTGGGACTGTTGATTCTACTGCGCAGCAAAATGTTAAATATTACGGTACATTGCATAGCACTCAATCTGAATGTGATACTAAGTTCTACCATCACCAGAAAAACAAGACTTACCAATGTCTCTGCAAAAGTCAAATAAATATTATAGTGCTGAGAGCAGTGTGAGTGAAAAGAAAAGCTTTTATACAACTGGAATTCCACGAACACACTGAGAACAAGTAAATTAAATTCAACATGCTATGTCACATTTTGTGTTTTTTGCATCCCTTTCAAACTAATCTACTATATAATGTCCAATTCAGAGGAACAAAAGTAAATGAATAAATAACCCTAAATAAATATTTATCTTCTGTCGTAGAATTAGAATGGGAAGGAAAAAAACAAAACAAACTAGTGCTCCTCAAAGATGACGAAGCAAGAATTTTAAAAGCACTTTCAGGTCAAGTCAAAAGCCTGCTTGTGGTGCTAATGAGAACGCCTAAATGGAAAACACTTTCTTTTTGCAGTGGGTGACTGCATTTTATCAGCAGATTCAAATCCTAAGATTATAAAAGATAAAAAAACAAACAAAACACCAAAACATGGTCAACAAAACAATGATAACATTAGATCTCTTGCAAACACGTCGGTGACACAGCAGAAATTAACAAAGAAAGTTAAAATATTTTAAAATTATCAAACACTGATGTTATAATCAATCAACTCATATCCAAGACTTTTTTTAACAGACCATGACCAAGGAAAACAGGTCATAAAAATTAAATCATCTCACAATAATTTAAGTGACAACATAACCAAAAAAGATAAACAAAATCACTTGAGAACAAATTGAAACAGAAGCAACAGGCAGACTTTGAAATCAACATGAGTAAACTAATAGCAATTTTTTAATCAAAATTCAGAACTTTATCTCAACAGAAATGACCTTCATAGGAATTGAAAAAAAAAAAAAAGAAAGAAAAATGATGACCAATGAATGCACAGATCAATTTTTACTAACAATAATGAGCTTTCATAAACAATTTACACAGAACACAAAGATTTAAGAGAGTTTCTAATGACCATTACTGGAGAAAAGAGCAATTCTTACAGTATAGAGTGCTTTTCGCTATAAAAACTGTCCTCCGTTCTCAAAACAAGTGGTCCCTGGTGACCAAAGAGGCCAAACTTCAATAATTTCATTTAATTAAAAAGTAGATTTCTTCCACATTATGTGGAACAAAGTAGAATTACAGGATGGACCATGACAGAACATTTTACTAACATCCGAGAGTAAATTAAAAACTAGATGTTAAAACGAGAAATAAAGTTCAATAAATCATCCACTGTCGTACTGTGAAGGAGAATGGAAAACGAACTGTACTAGAAATTACAGATCGCATTAATAAATATTCTGTAATCTCCAAATGAAATACTCAAACCCATCACTCAGTGAAAAGACAAGGAGGTAATATAATTTGTTGACACTCAATTCACCTTTTCCTTCTGAATAAACAAAATTCATAAACAAACAAAGATTAGGGGCATTATCATTGGAGAGTGGGAGTGGGAGGGATTGAGAAATTATTCTACTTCTCAGAGTCTTTATACTGGAAAAAAAAATGTTTAAAATAAAATGACACTTCCATGTCGAATTGTGCAAACGGTATAAGACCACATGTGCTTTGAAGGAACAAATTATTCCTTTCTTACTTTGAATTAAAAATGAACCCAGGACCAAAACAAGCACCCCACCCCTAAATCAAAAACTGAAGTAAATCAGAGGAAAGTCTGAATTCTACATTATTATGACAGTCACTTTTGATTTTGCAACTTTGTACATATTTCTTGTCAAAAGAGAGCAATCAAAAACTTCAAAATTAAACCGTTGTAGTACAAAAGAACTTTAAAAAGAAGTGTAAAAATACTGTATAAAAGAAAAACTGTTTTGACTGTAGATGTGAACAAAATCTATGGGAAAAATTTCAGTTCTCACATCTGTAATTTTTAAGATTGGTCAACAATCAAATTACCATTGATTTATTTTATTATTCCCACACGTCACACTAGCGAGCTACATGGTAGATCCAATCTGGGGTAATTTTGTCCGTGTATTCAGTTGAGATGCTAAATCATCTTGAATGGCTAACTGGCGTGTCTTTCCACTGGCTGTAGCGATAGTCCCATTGGCCAGCTTTGGCATTCCAGTACTGCGATTTCCTGACGAATTCCTCCTCAGTGCAGACTCAGATTTGACCTCACTGTTGTAGGGAGGAGGTCGAGGAAGTCGTCTCCTCAACCATGCATGCCTCAACGCTTGAGTTGGAGTAAGGCGTTGCTGCGGGTCCCAGTCTAGGGCACGACGCATAAAATCCAAGAACATGGGGTCGTCACAACCTTTCAAGGCAGTAACAAGATCCTTACTGCCGGGAGGACCACGGGTCTTCCCTCTCCGGGAACGGCCACCTTGGAGTACAGTGCTTCCATCTGGCAATGTATTCACTGTGCAATAACGAGGGTATCCTTTGGACGAAATGAAATTGCGAGCTCTTTTGGCTTGGTCCAGAAGCTTCTGAGGTGGCATATCCAAGAGCTCAATGATACACGCAAGTTGGTCCCCTTCATCCTCACCAGGGAACAGAGGATAGCCCGTAAGTAACTCCGCTAATATACATCCAAGGCTCCACATGTCAATGGGCATTCCATACTTGGCTCCGACAATGACCTCTGGAGCTCGATAAAATCGAGACTGAATGTACGTGTAGATTCTCTGATGCTCATAACAACTGGAGCCAAAGTCAATAACCTTAATACCACTTCTACCTTGCTGTTTGAGCAAAATGTTCTCAGGTTTGAGATCACAATGAATTATTCGATTCTTATACAGAGCATCCAGGCACTGAAGAATTGAATGAGCAAACTTTCTTACTAACTGCAAACTGAAACCCTGAAATTTGTTTTTCTTTATCAGTTCATATAAATTCATGCTGAGAAGCTCAAAGGTAATACAGATGTGGTTTCTGAAGGTAAAATTTTCATACATGTGTACAATGTTCATATTATTGTCCTTGTCTTGCTTTTTCAAATGTTCTAAGATACGAATCTCTTCTTGTGCTTGACGATGAAAGCGTTTTTCGTTGCGAACCATTTTCAAAGCTACGTGTATCTGAGTTTTATGATCATAAGCTTTCACAACCTGACCAAAACTACCTTTGCCGATAACTTTGAGAACTTCAAAGCGATAGGATATATGATCATGAGGCACATGTACGTAAGATCCATTTTCATCATCATATCCATTATTATTTGATCCTCCCACCACACCTTGTTTCTTTTTGGCATTTTGGCCCACAAAGTAGACATCAGGATAGCTGAAAATTTCATGATGTTCATAAGAACTGAGTTTGTGCATGTATTGCTTCATTGCCAATTCTGGGTTCATTCTGTTGCCTCTCCGGACACCAGACCCTTTACTACCAGTGCTTCCAGCACTAGAACTTGGTCGTGCAACACCTTGATTCTGAGATTGATCGTCGCCTCCGCCGCCATTTTGAATAACTTCTCTTTTCTCTGTGTGATGCTTATGATCCTCGAACAACTGCTGCACCCTTACCCCGTGGCCACTAGTAGCACCCCCCACAGTCTGGCTTGCGAGGGGTGGTAGGTGGTGTGAATGGCTACCTTCCATTGTATGAGTATACATTGTACTTCCTATCAACGATTGCCGATGCTGAACAGCGGGTTTTACCTTAGCAATTGTGGCCATAATTCCATCGTTCCAAGAACTTTGAACACCACCCTTTCCACATTTCTATATAAACTGCACTAGATCATTTGAGAAAAAGTAAATAATCCATCACCAATAACGAAAGCACAAACAACAGGGTAAAGGCAGACTGTCGAGCGAGGATAAAATCGCCCGCTATGTTGCTTTATCAAAGAATGGCCTCCGCGGTTGCCAAGCACGACCTCTATCCGCCGACGTCATGGCGGTGACGTCATGGAAACTGTGGTCACGTGTAGTCAACAAACGCTGAAAGGAAGAAGTTAAAAATCACTCGTGAAAATTTTGAAGACTTAATTACCTACTTGCTTTATTAGACCAATAATAATGCTTATTATTTTCTAAAGTCAACTGCGTGCAAGTTCAAAATTTCTCCTTGAACAGATTCTTTAGTAAACAGCATGATAGTATGTTTCCAATAAATATATTTACACGAATTATTTTCAAACACGATATATGACAACTTTAATCTTTTTCTTCAGTTTAGATTTAGTTTGGTCATACTCTTAAATATTACAGAAGCAAGGCACAGCTGACAAAATGATATTTCGAAAATAAGTGAATAAATAAATGAATATTTTCCTTTTAAAAAAAACAACAGTACTTAGCACTCTTACTTTTTATCCATTTGAACCTTGAGTTAAGCTCACGTACTTCAGTTAACCACACGGCGTGCCGCGCTGTACGGACAGGGCAACAGGAATGTACACATAACGTTACTTTTTCGGGCCGTTTTTCCTTATAATTACAAATAAGCCAATCGTTTTGCTTTCCTTCTAACTGCAACATGGACCAAAATAATATGTTTTCTCCTGTCTATTTTGTAAATTATTTTTACCTACGAATCAGCTGGGCCTACGTGTACTTGCGGAGAACTAGAGACACAGAGAGAGAGAGGGAGAGAGAGAGAGAGAGAGAGAGAGAGAGAGAGAGAGAGAGAGAGAGAGAGAGAGAGAGAGAGAGAGAGAGAGAGAAGGGGGAGGGAGAGAGAGAGAGAGAGAGAGAGAGAGAGAGAGAGAGAGAGAGAGAGAGAGAGAGAGAGAGAGAGAGAGAGAGGTGGATTGACAGGCAAAGAGATTGACAGATTAACACACAGGCCTATACAAACATTCACAGGGGCAGAGGGATAGGAAGACACAACAGCCAGCCAGACAGACAGACAGCCATGACAATAACACAACGACAGACTGACCGACAGACAGACAGACAGGTAGCCTCTAAAAATTATTGCTCAGGATAATAAGCAAATAACTTAAGCTGTGCATTTCACTATGGGGGTAAATAAAATTGCAACAAGGATGATTTTGGTGTCATTAGAACCAGAAAACTTTCCTCTCATACTGAAAGGGCACACGCATTTCATGCTACACCTGTGATTATTCACTTTTACCTCTTGCCTTTACATTAAAAATAATAAATGGCGGTAAAAAAAAAAGAAAACCATCACTAAAATAGTTGTCGGTGTGCTTGTTATTTAAACTTCCAATTTTTAAACCCAAATTTGACTGGAATTCTCGAAGCCTAACACGCACACAAAATATTTTTTTCTAATTAAAAAGTTTAGAAAAAAATAAACACTCATTTCGAGATCAAAGCCGCAGGCCAAAACATTGAGGAGATACAAATATAGGCTAAACATAATAATAATCATAATAACACCAATAATAATGATAATGATAATAATAATGATAATAATAATAATAGTAGTAGTAGTAGTAGTAGTAATAATAATAATAATGATAATAATGTTTGCCTAAACTCCCCCCCCCCTCCCCCCACACACATATTTCTCTACTTACTTACAGATAGATAGCCGGGGTCGAAGTACCAATTAATATAGTACCAACATTCAGTCAATACATTTAAATGTTTTAAGCCTATTAGATGTATTTCTTATTTCTTTGAAAGGATGTTAAGACCAGTGAGAAACATGTGTCCAATGGCAGGTCTTCAGTATAATAAACCTTATCCACAGTTGAAAAAGGGTTTTTAATCATTTGTATCTATTAATATTTGGACACCCCAATCCCCGTTAGTCCCCATTTGTATTCTCTCGCGCATATCTTCTTCTGCCCTGTTAAGCCAGTATTTTGAAAAGATGTAGGTTAGCTAACTTTGATAGCAGAAGTGAATGTCTATGGTGCTTTTGATTATGGGAGGCAAATGTCTGTAGGACACCGTCACCGGAAAGGCGCATAGCGCATGTCTGGTCCGGAAGACGGAAGAAGAATTTATTTCCGGTGTCCACTACATCGCTTGTGACGTAGTGACGTGTAGGACAACATTATTATTATACCGGTTATATTCTGCTAAAAAGTATTGACACATAAATATCATAATGCTGTCTCTGAAACGAGATAAGAAAGAAGAGGAAGAAGGTAAATATGGCTCTACTTTTGTTCTCTAGAGTTTGATAGATTCTGAGCTTTTCATAGCTCTTGCCCTGTAAAATTTGACGGGCGAGCCTGCTTGATTTGTAAGATGTTGCCTGCCTTCTGAAGAAGGTTGAACGTGAAAGATTTCTCACTCAAGAGGATCTGGGGCTATTAAGTTATTGAAGTGGGTAGGTCTGTCTGGGGAGACAATGGAATGGCGCCACCCCCTCCCCTGGCCATTTTGCCCTCAAGTTCTCCACATCACATAAATGGATAGAACAGTTTGTACTGCAGTCTGTCTGTAACGGCGCCGTGAACCTTTGTCAAAGTCTTTGTTTGCAGGCTTTGTTCACGGCGCCCTGAATGTAGTTTTCATATTCGGTATTATTTTACTTTCCCTCCCGTCTCACACTTAGCTAGATTTACCAGTTGTCAGTAAATTTTTACCTTTCCTTCGCCTTCCTTCCTCTGGCTGGCCTCTGTTAGGACAGGTAACAGCCAACCTCTTGTGGCCTCGTCCAGAGTACATCTGGGCCCGATCTCGCGTTGTTCTCCCTAAGTGGGCCTCGATGTGCTTCCCCCCGCGGGCTCTCATACAGTGCGTGCTGCAGGTCGTCAGGACTTGTGCCACACGCCTGACAGGAATCATTGGGAGTGGAGCCTGTTGCATGGAGATACGCCTGCAGGATGGGGCTCTTCACGTTGCATCATAGCTGTGATAGCGCTCTTCTCTGTCTGACAGTTAGGTCTCTCTCTTTGTCCCTCTCCGATGGTGGCTTCACCTTTCCCCCGACAGAGTCGTGCACTCGCGCTTTCTCCCATGCGTGGGCAATGATGTAACGCGAGATGCATGAGCTTGCTGATGCGAGATCGACTGGAGTGTTGGACTGGTCGAGGCGGCCTCCCTTGTTGGCCAGGGCGTCAGCTCGGTCATTCCCATAGATGTCGCAATGTCCTGGTATCCATTGTTACGTGAAGTAGCAATGCCAATGAAAATTTAAATTTTCACTTTAGCCCTTTTGTTTTTGGTACCTAAGAAAGAATTTTCAATTCTAAAAATTATGCTTTGAATTTTAAGAATCGGTTCATAAATAAAAAAGTTAAGGGGTTGTAAAGGTCGGCAAAATATGGATGACCCACATATCGGAAAATACTCTTAAAAAGTGGACCACGCAGTAGCAGATTCTGTAAGAAAATCAACGATATCTCGGTAACTAATTGGAGTGTTCGAGAGAAACTTGGCTACCCGATGTGTTTTTGAGTGTAGAAATCATTTCTGCAGTCAGATTTACTACCAATTTCGTAGTTATTTTGTTATAATTAAAATTTTGGTGTACATATTACTAGCAATGCCAATCGCCCGCTGCGCCTTGGGCCGGAAATCGGCCTCCGCGCGAGGGGTATTTTTTGGGCCGCTCGGAATCAGAAGTGACTCTCTTCTAAGTATAGTTACGGGAAAACTCCTTGACCAAAATAAATGAAACTCGGCAACCAACCAGAGGAAAGGTTAAACTAACGACATGCCGGCGTACAATCCCGAACGATTTCTAGAACCGGAGATATTGCCGTGTTTGTGCGAATTTCCTCTGCGGTTCGAAAACTAAGCGGAGCTGCGGGTTGATCGCCAACACACAAGCGCCCCACATGTCTTCTTTATTGCTGTAAAATTTCAGATCTCTGCATTTGGTAGATTTTCCGTACCAACTTAAAATTACCACCCATCCATTGATAAAACACTAGATCTAGAAACTTGATCGCGCATTCCAAACGCGAGGTGCCGGCATGCAAGAGGCGCATGATCGCTAGGCTGCATGTGATTGGCTGCCTATAACCAAATGGGTCACCGATGACTACATCGCGGGTTTTCCCGATAGCGCTTTACTGAGTTTTAGAAGGGGTGATCACGTCGCGGTAAAAACGATGTCACGCAATTCAACAAATTTCACGCAAATATCAGTCTTTAAGATCCAAAGTAATGAAGACATTGAAAAAGTGATAGCAGAACTAGATTCGGCATTAAAAATCACATGGAGATGCCAAGTTTCATTCATTACTGACTTATGAACAGTTTTTCCTCAAAATACATCAAAACATGTCCCACATTTTGGTGATTTTTTTCCTATATGAAGGTCCTCCAACATTTTGCTAACAAAAATCCCAATAACTTTTTTATTTATCAATGGATTTTTAAAATTTAAGAACCATAGTTCTTAGAATTTACTCTATTTTCATTTAAGCCCATTTTAAAGCAATTTGGATGAAAATTGAATTTTTCATTGTCATTGCTAGATAAGTTAATTCAATCTAGTATGCCGTACAATTAAAAATTCTTTTTCCCCGTTGAGACGCGAACACCCCCAGACGAGATAACCTCGCCTTGGAATACCCCCATTGCGATGTTACAGGGGAATAGAGAGAAAAACAACCGGATGCGGGCGTCTGCCATTGCCCTATTTCAAGTGACCAATGAACGGGCCCGGAATAGTCACATACATTTGCCACGAGAGTGAGGGGAAAATGGCCGGTCTCCGTGCGAAGCCGCTTTGGATAGGGGGGTAGTCGTGCATTTATGATCGGGTCTAAACAACTACTTGACACAGAACGTTCAAATTTGAGCACACTATAGAGGATAGATAGATCTATTACCATCTCGGCGTTGAAATTCAAACTCCTTATAGTTTTCGGTGTACACGATACGAAAGTGTTCCCGACACCAAAAGTATAGGTTAATTTATGTGTAAGAACTTCAACGTCCACATATCATTAGTTTGCCCTATTTTCTGATTGGTTGCCAAGTTTCATTCGGATTGGTTTGGAAATAGAGCAGACCGAGGTTGACAAAGTTAGTCACGTACGCTTCGGCCGGGTCTGCAAAATCGCCCGTAAACGGGGACCAAATTTTCGCCTCGCGGGAAAGCCCGATTGGCATTGCTACGTGAAGGTGTCCGTGGATTTCACAGCAGTGGCAGATAGTGGTCCACATTTTGTCCTCTATCTCAGTACGAACTGCAGTCACTCCGGACATTAAGTGTTGAACAACTGACTGGGAGTCTGTGAAGATGTGGATTCTTTGAAAACCTGGTTGTTTTTCGAACCATTGCAGTGCGCAGAGCAGGGCGGTAGTTTCATCGTGGAAGTTGCTTCCGTGTAGTCCTGCGGGCACGGATATGCATGTTTCCTCCCCAGAAGATTTGTCTAGACACCGGTATCCTCCTCCACATAACCTGTGCGCCGTCAGTAGCATGGCCGTCAGTGAAGATATCGAGGTCTGATGTAGGCAATCGGCGCAGGGTCTCGAAACCTGCTTCACGTCGCATATTAGGTGGATCTGTTTTTGTCGTAGACTCTGCAAGTTTGGAGTTGATTGTGAGGTTGCAGGGGGTCTTCCATGGGGGAGTTGTACTCCCTGGCCGTAGGGGCTCTCGGATTAGATGTTCTAGTCTCGCGTTATTAGAGCTCTGTCGGCCCACTTCCCTCCAACTGTTGATGGACTTTAAGCGTATTTTTGATGTTCTTTCAGCTGATCGGGTTGTCTTCTGGGACTCTTCTTGCTCTCTCGTATGCCACAGCAGTTGAAATGTTAGACTTAACCTCAAGTGGGATGAGGCCAGCTTCGTTTGTGAACAGCATTGCATTTGAGTCTCTCGTACGCCCGGTAATTATTCTGGCTGACGAGTTTTGAATTACATTTAAGGTCTCACGATTTGTTTTGGCTGTTGCGGGGTACCAGGCTGCGTGGGCATACTGGATGGCTGATCTGATGTACGCGATGTACGCCATACGTAGATCCTTTTTGCTGCATCCCCAGTCTGTGCTGGAGACCCTGCGGAGGAGATTGACTCGTGGGGCCAGTTTTTTCTTTAATTCATAGAATGTTTTTTAGATGTTAACTTGCAATCAAAGGTCACGCCAAGGAAGGTAGGTGTTTTGGTATAGGGCACCTCCTCGTCTCCCATTGTAAGCTGGGTACGCCAGGACATTTCACGGTTCCATGTCGTGAAAAAAGAGTATTCACATTTCGCCTAGTTAATTTCCAAACTTTTTTTTTTTACTTGACATTTTGCAGTTAGAGTTAGAATCTGGATCTAGATCTAGATCAGATTTGTAATTTTCTTGAAAATAATTAATTTTCAATAGTTTTACTGGCTTTATGTGTGATCTGCAGCAAACAATACTGTAGTTTGACCCCCGAGGCAGTGCATCTGTGTGCGGGCGGGAGTGAAAGTAAAAATTCACCCGCGATGGAAAGCTGGATTTTACTTAGGCCATGTATTTAGTTTTTTTCTGGTGCAGATGTTTTACATTTAGGCCAATCCCTGTTTTTTCGTATTTAAAAATTGACATATATATGCAATTCTTTTCAGGTGGTGGAAACCCGTTTTACAACCTGGAAAAAAGCGCTGTTCTTCAAGAGGTACGATAAGAACAAATATCTTTCTGTGTATGTCAGTAAATAATTGTTGACCTTCTGTCCAGATTAAAAATCTTTACCCTGCTCTTTATGGCCTCGTTTTTTTTGTCTAAATAGATGGTCAAAGTAGGTAAACTAGTTTCCAGTAGTTTTTCTATACAAATGTCCTGAAAATTCTAAATTTTGGAGGGCAAAGTAGATGTTCCCAAGGTCTGTTAAGCTCTGCTGGATTTCTATCTCGTCCCTGTTTTCTTGCCGTTCTTCTAGCTTTATTATAATATAATTCTAACTCCTATCTAAAGTTTGTCTTTGAATAAGTAAACTCTGTTTCAGAATCTGTATACTGGCATCATCTCTGTTGATTTTTATGTAGGATATATTGCTTGGAGTTTGGACTTGATCTCAGATCTCTTTACAAATATTATATTGTCACATTGTGTCATGGGCTATAGAAAGTTCAGGTTTCTGGTCATAACAGAAGGCTACCCAGGTAAATGACATCAAACTATGTGCATTATCTTAAAGGTAATTGGTTAAAATACAGCATAACTATAGAATTTGTTTGTGAAATGGATGATTCATTTTAAAGACGGTCTCCATGGAAGCCATAGAATAAAAGGTCAGCTTTCTACTTGTTTTATAGGGTTAACATACATTTAGTATTCTATTAAGTAATTATGTTTACCAATCCTTCGTTTCAGGCCCGCACCCTCAATGACACTCCAATTGATCCTAGGAAATGTGGACATATACTCACAAAGCTACTGTACATCATAAATCAGGTGAGTCTATCTATTGTCATACTGGGGAACAAAGACTTACCTACCGTATGTCGTGGAAAAGTCAGGATTGTTCTTTTTCAGGTTTCCGTCCAGGCAGGTCAGATTATATTGGTCTATTTGAGAGGGGAGGATTTTGTGTGTAGGTAAGGATGATAGGATTTGAGGTTTTAAAATTGAACTATGTGCAAAATTAAAAAAGAAATTGAACAGTTGACTTTGAAAAAGAACTCAGCAGAGGATGACGTCAGTACCTGTCAGAACAGTTGTGCTGTCAAGTCTGGTCTTTGTGTCTCAATGGGGAAGTTTCTTCAACAAGAGGACCCATGACGCTTTTTTCCATTGCTGGGAACAAGAAGCTATGGGACCAATCCTCCTTGGAACCAGAGCTTCATGGAAGATGGGGACATGGTATATAGGAATCTGGAGTGATAGCAATGTACAGACAAACCTGCCTTGACGGCCACCTGTACAAATGGACACTTTCATCGCACTGTCTCCCTCATTTGATACACACTGTAGCTTTTAACACCTACAGAAGTTGTGAATTCACCTTTTTGCGTTAACAACAACAGCAAAATACTCAGCAACAACAACAATAAAAACCTTCCTATGCCCCCCCCCCCCTTTCAGAAGGAAAAAAAAATTGTCTTACAGCAGTCCGCCTCTTTTTGGGACCTCAGAAGGGAATGGTTTGTTTTTTTCATTTTCGTCAGTCATGCCCAAGGAGGCCACTTTTTTTCTTGACAGTGGGTGGTCGTCTTACACTGGTTTGACTGTATTCGTACCTTTTGATGAACATTTTTTTTGTTTGTTTTGTTTTCAGGGAGAGAACATTGGCCAGAATGAAGCTACCAAGGCTTTCTTCGCAATGACAAAACTTTTCCAGTCAAATGATGTGAGTGTTGATTGTTGTCTATTTTCATTTCACTGTGTAATGGTGAGCTATTCACATTCGTATTTTAGTTTTCTTGCTGGGCTCCAACGATATGTGTCATGACGTGGTGGAATCAGTCGCTCGTCAATTTTTGGGCATGTTGAGTTATTGGTATCATCTAAAAGCTTTTTTATTTGCCTTGCTTTCAATGAAAATTGAGATATTTATAATGGGAGAAGGTGGAGTCGCCTGGATTCAGTGATAAAATTAGCGAGAAAATGGTCGCGAAATTTTGGTAATTTCAATAACTTGCGAGTCCCTCCAAACTGAAAAATTACATATTTTGTTCCTTTTTTTTAATCAACGTTTTCACATAGAAATGTAGGTGTTGAGCTAAAAGACAAAAATTGGAAATAAAGTTGCCGAACTGGCGGGAAAATGAGTGTTTCTTTGATTTTTATTATTTTGACGAGCTCCTGATTCCACCACAGTACCTCCCATATTGTCTTTTTAGACAGAACAAAGTGATATTAGTTCAATAATATAATTCATCTCGTTAAGACAGGATACTTTGTTTCATTATGCTAAGTGATCTGATGGTGCAGGGATAAAAAACTGCAGGGAACTGGGATAGGTTTTTCCATTAGTGAGAAAGTCATTTGGTTTCACATGTATTTCACCTACCCTTTCTCCTTCAACATGCTTATTGTTGTGTATTCATTTTTTTCCATACAGCCAATTCTCCGCAGACTGGTATACCTGGGTATCAAAGAGATGTCCAAAATTGCCCAGGATGTCATTATCGTGACGAGTTGGTAAGTGGACCATGATGTCTAACAAAAGAGATGTGTGAGGCACATTGTATCCTGTGGTAGTTGAGAAATATAAAAAGTAATGGTGCATATTTATATTAGATAGGTGTTTAAGATCCAGTAGGTTCCTGTAATGTCATGCTTTCAACAATTTCAGTTATTCCAGTTTCTCTCTTGTTGAGAATTGTCTTTAAATTTTCAGCCCAGTGCACATTGGGAAAATTTCTACTCCTTCATGGCTACAAAGTATGACATCATTTGGCACTGAGAGAGAGACAAATATGGGAAAGTGGCTCATTTACATACTCGCAGCTGTGAGACGAGTAGACATTTTGTTAGAGTGTAGGGGGCCTAATTAAGGATGTCACCGGTCTGGTGCATTCGGCCTCTTTCCTGTGTCCGTTTTTTATGGGTAAGGGGGGGGGGGGGTCCTTAGCTCCAAATACTAAGTTTTCATGCTCCACATTTTTCACTAAAGAAGGACTATTTTCAGTAGATCGGACCAGTAGTGTATCATCATCATTGCCTTTGTCTCTCTGGATCAGGGTGTAGGTTGTGAACAAATATACTTTCCGTCTTTCCTTTTCCTAGATGAATCCCTTTTTTTATTATTTCCATGTCTCCCCACCTTTGTACTGTATGTCTGTGCATTATTGACTATGTAGATTTAATTTAAAAAGTAATTAACTCAGATTTTTTAAAAATTGAATATGCTGTCTGGATTTTTTTTTCCAGTCTGATGAAGGACATGAAGGGAAAAGAGGAGTTTCGAGGACCTGCCATCCGAGCTCTGTGCTCTGTTACAGATGTAAGACCTATGCAGCATATGATGTATATATGCAAACAGTCCTACCTATGTTTCATTTTCCTGAGAAATGTTACTTTTAAAATAATTGTACCTCCATAGTGATCTTCTATGATCTGAACAGTTTTGGTAGTAAAATAGTTGTGCTTTAAAATTGTGAACTTAAGTAATGATCTTCAATTTTGTTTAGAAATCATTGGTCTGCAACTAGCCCTCAGTTCTGTTGGCTGGAAATCGTTGTTTTTCGTTATAGCTGAAATTTATTAATGATTACATTTATGGTGATCATTTTTTCTATCTCGCTGTTAGCCCTGTATTGCTGTTTTTATTGCAAAATGACAGTTTTTATTTTCTAATTGTTTCTGTGTAAAAATGTAGTCTTGTCTTACCCTTAAATAATAAGTAGCATTGTCATTTGAAGTCCTGTCAGTGATGTATTTAGCCCTCTGAGTATTTGTAGTGCAAGTCAGCAATAAAATTTTGTTCGTAAAACACTTAATGAAAAAAAAAAAAATTTAGCTCGCTGTAGACTCTGCTTCATTTCACTTATTTTCTGTTCTTCAGAGCACCATGCTCCAGAGCATCCAGCGTTACATGGACGAAGCTATCATGGACAAGGGACCTGCTGTGGCTAGCGCTGCTCTAGTCTCGGCACTTGTAAGTTTTCTGTATATTATAGGTGTCTATTGCAGATTGAAATTTCTGTCTTGACAGATAAGATGTCAGGAAGGGTAGTGCGGACACTGCAGACAAGAAGTGACGATGTTCTAATTCTGTTCTCAAATCTCATGTTAAAAGTTGGGTCATGTCTCTGAATTTGCACGCAGACAATACTGGAAAATTATGTTTACATATGTTGTTGCGTTATGAATGTTCTTTGTTTCTTTTTTTGCTTTGTTTTTGTGATTATTGAGCTACTTTTTTGGAAATACGCTATTTAAATGTTATATTTTATTTTTATTGTTGGTCTCTAATGGTGTCAACCAATAAAAGGTCAATTTTGAGTATTTTTCTTGTACATGAGTGAAGACTATAGGATTATTATCTCTAATAAGGTATTGAAATGTAAGTGAGAGTTCAGCAGTGATGACTTATGGAACTTGCCCTCTCTGATAAGTTTATGGTGAAAAAGTTCCCCTCAGTGTACTCAACGTCTGAGCTGAAATGAATTGTTTTCCTTTTTGCAAACATGTTTGAATGTGCTCCGGGAGCTGACGAAGGATACTTGGTTACATTTTTAATGTGATGAATGTCTATAGTTTTATTTTTCAAATTGTCACAAGTTTTCATTTGACTTTTATGTTTATTCTCAAAGCATCTGGGCAAAGGAAGCCATGAAGTAGTCAAGCGCTGGGTGGATGCAGCCAATGCAGTTGCCACCAGTGAGAATCCTATGGTGGAGGTAAGTGCACTGTCTAGGAGATTATCAGTTTTGAATTTTCATTTATTTTTCATCCCCCTTTTTGTTTTTTTGGTCTCCTTTCCTCCTTTAAGAAATATCCTTTTGGTTTATATTTATTTCTTTTCACAGTAAGTGCTATGTGGCCAAACTACTTGCTCATGTAACTTTTCTCCTTACATGTATATTTTTGAAATTCTGTTGTTTAGTGTGAGTAAAGAAAATATTTTGAAGAAAAAGGAGGATCTACCTTTAGGTAACAGATGCATGTTTTTTCTTCCTCCCCCCCACCCCCGCCCTCTAATTATTGATAGAATTATGGTTCTCAAAACCATTTTAGTAATAATTGTATCAGATCCATTAAAAATTACTCCAACACGTACTGCTCAATTCTCAGCTTTGAAAAGATCTCTTATTGCACGTTGCTAACAAAGTGAAGATGTTACTTTAATCATCATGTGGCATTTTGGAAGTAATTCAGTGATGCAGGGTACATTCTTCTATTGGACTTGTAGACAAATTAAAGCTTTTATATTCTTTGCTTCCGGTTGCCCATATAAATTGTAAAAAGTTGAAACTTTTTATTGGTTGAAAACCTTATTACAACTGTGTTGATTCCCTGCGGACAGTTCCACGCCTTGTGTCTGCTGTACCACGTGCTGAAGAATGACAAGATTGCTTTGTTCAAGCTGGTGAGCAAGTCCAGGAAGTTCAGGTCGCCCTACTCCTACTGCTTGCAGGTGAGCTTGTCTCTCTGGATGTTCTGTTTTGGTTCCATTATGCTAATTCTGGAATCATTGTCTTCTGATTATTATTATTTTGATTATTATTATTGTGATTCTTCTTCTTCTTTCTTCTTCTTCTTCTTCTTCTTCTTCTTCTTCTTCTTCTTCTTCTTCTTCTTCTTGTTTTGACGCTAAGATAGCTAGAGAGTTTCTGTGTTCAAGCTGCATGTTCATAATGGTGACACATAATTTTCATGTAGGAAACTTGAATAATCAAGGTAATTGAAGGGTTTTTTTTTGGAAGGTCTGGTTTTACGGTTACATACTCTTGGCAAAAGAATTGTTTGCTTTTGAGGTCAAACTGGTCTGTTCACAGAAAGATGGTACCTTGGACAATATGTATCTTGAGCTTCTTGTGCATTGTATTGTCATTTTATTTGCATGGAGAACATGTGGGAAATCTATTTTATTAAAATTTATGCAAGGTCATTCATAGAGTGAGCTATCGTTGAAGTAACATTTAAAGTTTTTAAATTTGTATTTTTGTCATGTCCACTCAAATGACAGGTTTTAAAAAAATGAATGCATTCACTATGTCCAGATCCGCATTGCTGCCAAGCTGATTGAGAGAGAGGATGCAGGCTCAAACAGTGAGCTCTTTGACTTCATTGAGAGCTGCCTGAGGCACAAGTCGGAGATGGTCATCTATGAGGCTGCTCAGGCCATTGTCCAGCTGAAGAACACCACTGCCAAGGACTTGGCCCCAGCCGTCTCCGTGCTGCAGCTCTTCTGCAGCTCCCCCAAACCGACCCTGAGGTTTGCGGCAGTCAGGACCTTGAACAAGGTAGGTGTCTACGAACTCTTGGCGGGTCCTCTGTTCAGTGTATGAGTGTACGAAAAGGTTTGTGGTTGGTTTTGGTTGTGGTAACAATTGGGCTGGATGTACAGAAAAGTGGGAAGACATGGAGTGACATCAAGCGACTCGCCCAGGGTAGGGGAAGGTGGAAAGTGTTTGTGCGTGGCCTGTGTCCTGATCCAGGGTGAAAAAGGCAATGATGATGAACAATTGGGCTTCAAGTTACTTCGATAGACCATATATTCTGGTTCTCATAATCTGAGAAAATGATCTCAACTGTCCAGAAGTTCTCCATAGCCAAACATAAGAAACAAAGACAGATTAGTTGATTTGGAAAGTTAAAAACTACCTTTTAGTCTATGAGAAGTAAAATAGTCATTGTGCGAGAAAAGTGATTCTCACTTATAACTGTTTAGCTTACAGTTTCCCTTTGTATGGTTTTACCTTTCCTTTGCCTCGTAAAACGCTCATAGATAATTGACTTGATAAACTTAATGAGAGCCAAATGAATCATAGAGTTCATATTCTTCAGCGAAGATGTACTTGTACAGTGATGAAATGCTTGGAATTAACTAGAACAATCAATTTTTACGATTAAGTTTTACAGCTCAGTTTTGTTTTTCTGTGCAGTTTGACTTGTTATCCTGTATTCAGCATTGTGTATTTGTTCATAATCTAATTTTTTTTCTTTCTTTCAAGGTTGCAATCAAGCACCCTGCAGCAGTAACTGCATGTAATCTTGACCTGGAAAACCTCATCACTGACGTCAACCGCAGCATCGCCACATTGGCCATCACCACCTTGCTGAAGACTGGCAATGAGAGCAGCGTGGATCGCCTGATGAAACAGATCTCCAGCTTCATGTCTGAGATCTCTGACGAGTTCAAGATCGTTGTGGTCCAGGGAATCCGCTCTCTGTGCTCCAAATTCCCCAGGAAGCACAACGTGCTCATGACGTTCTTGGCTCAGATGCTCAGAGATGAGGTATGTAGACTGTTGAATTAAACCGTTGTTAACCCTATCCGTACGCCCTGGGGTCATTTTGTACCCCTGGGTTGTATTCTTCACATTTTAGAATACTTTTAGTGTGAAGTTATCTTTGAAACTTTCAGTATTTCTCAAAAAAATCATTTTGACAGCCTGCTATGCCATGCGTTTGGATCAGATTAACTAAGTTAATTTCCTCTTTGGAAAGTGGGGGCACAGAGTTCCCCACGTCGTATGGATACGATAGTTAAACTCGACGTGTGGATAGGGTTAATACATGCTATTGCGGAACTCTGTATTTGAACAGAAAATTGCAAGTTTTCCTTTCATTCTTAATGAAAATTGAATTGTGAAGTTTGATCATTGTTATTAATGTTTTTGATAATGTTTGTTTTGAAATGGAAAATTACTTGTTTTCCTTTTGTGTTTAATGAGAATAAGTTGCTGGTGACACTTGAATTGCTTTGAATTGTTGTTGACATTTTTCATACATGAATGAAGAGTAGATTTAATAATTTTTTTGTAAGCACCGTTTCTGTCTTTTACTTTTATTGAGTGAATTAATTATTTTCTCAATTTACATGGACCAAAAGAGCTCCCATTTTCGTATGGATTTCAGTGTTTTAATACATTTAAGAATGTTGGGATTTTTTGTGCCTATGTCATAAGTTCTTTTGAAAAGTTGACTCATTTATCGACAGGGGAAGAAAACAATGTGGTATTTGTGCCATGTTGCTTGTGCTACCTTTTTTTTTTTCTTACATGTTTCATCTCTTCAAAGCTGTACGCTAATGTGCCAGCAGTGTTAAAATGGTAAATTTTTCACTTCTGTGTAATTTTGCAGGGAGGTTTTGATTACAAGAAAGAGATTGTTGAGTGCATTATCTCTACTATTGAGGAGAACCCAGAAGCAAAGGAAGCAGGTAAGTTTCATTCCATTATTGATTCAAAAATTGATTGAGATTTTTCTTGTTTGATGTTATAACTGGTCATACATTGAAAGATCTATTCTTATTAGTGTACTGTTTTGTCTTGTGAATCGTTACTCGTCACTGTTTGATGTGGACTATCTGTGAGCTCTTTTTTCTTTTTAGTCAGTACATGATTAGCTTTAGTCAATTGGGATGTGTATAGGGGTGTCT